AGGTCAAGTCCCCTGAGAAGATCAAGTCCCCTGTGAAGGAAGAGATCAAGTCTCCAGCTGAGATCATGTCCCCTGAGAAGGTCAAGTCCCCTGTGAAGGAGGAGGCCAAATCTCCAACTGGGGTCAAGTCCCCTAAGAAGGTCAAGTCCCCTGTGAAGGAAGAGGCTAAGTCTCCAGCTGAGATCATGTCTCCTGAGAAGGTCAAGTTCCCAGTGAAGGAAGAGGTCAAGTCTCCAGTTGAGAGAGCTAAGACACCAGTGAAGGAGGAAGCCAAGTCTCCAGTGGAAGTAAAGTCCCCAGAGAAGGCCAAGTCCCCTGTGAAGCAAGAAGCAAAGTCCTCTGATAAAGCCAAGACTCTTGATGTGAAATCTCCAGAAGCCAAGACACCAGTGAAGGAGGAAGTAAGGTCCCCTGAAGACATCAAATCCTCTGAAAAGGCCAAAACTCCTGTTAAGGAGGAGGTTAAGTCCCCAGGGAAGGTCAAATCTCCCATGAAGGAGGATGTCAAGGATCCTGAAAAGGAGGTCACAAAGAAGGAAGAGGTGAAGTTCCCCATGAAAGAAGAGGAGAAATCCCAGGAGGTTAAAGTCAAAGAGCCCCCAAAGAAGGTAGAGGAAGAGAAAGCTCCAGTCACACCAAAAACTGAGGAGAAGGACAGCAAGAAAGATGAGGTACCCAAGAAGGAGACTCTGAAGTCTAAGGTTGAGGAGAAGAAGGAACCTGCTGTAGAGAAACCCAAAGAATCCAAAGTTGAAGCCAAGAAGGAAGATACTGAAGATAAGAAAGAAACAGTGACCCCAGAGAAGGAAGCTTCTGCCAAGGTGGACGTGAAGGAAGAGGCTAAACCCAAAGAGAAGACTGATGTGGCCAAGAAGGAGCCAGATGATGCCAAGGCCAAAGAACCCAGCAAATTAGCAGAAAAGGAACTAGAAAAGCCTAAAAAGGAAGAGGCACCAGCAGCACCAGGAAAAAAAGAGACCAAGGAGGAGAAAGCCACAGAGGCCAAGAAGCCTGAGGAGAAACCCAAAGTGGAGGCAAAAGCCAAGGAGGAGGAAAAGACTGTCATAAAAGAGCCCAGCAAACCCAAAACTGAAAAGGCTGAGAAATCTTCTAGCACAGACCAAAAAGACAGCAGGCCTCCAGAGAAAGTCCCAGAGGACAAGGCCACCAAGGGGGAGAAATAAGTTATAGAAAATGGAACATCTGGAACAGCCAAAGAAACTCAGGAGGGGCAGGAGTAATTGTGGGTCGGTGTAATTCATTTTCACTTTTTTCCTCTCTTATCTTTGTTTAAGAAGAAACTCTGCTTAGATGATGGGACCCTCCTTCACCAAACAGGAATTTCGGTTAGCAATATGGTCACAAGAGAGGGGACTCCCAGCCCCCTGCCTCCCACACCCCAAACCCTCCCCAGGCGATGGACAATTATGATAGCTTATGTGATAAATGCCGAATGCTATACTTGACTATAAAACGGTCCTCTCCTTTCCCAATAAGTGCATTTATTTCCTGTATGTGCAACTGAAGATGACTGCAATAATGAATGAGCAGTTAGAAACACATTATGCTTGAGATGTCTTAACCTATTCCTGAATGCCTTCTGTTTTTCCAAAGGAGTGGTCAAGCCCTTGCCCAGAGCATTCCATCCTGGAAGAGCTGGAGCAGGTGGGGCTGGGCACTGACCACTGAATCACGCCAGGGCGCACTTTTCCACTGAAGTTCTACTTTCAATTGCTTCTGTGCAATAAAACCAAGTGCTTATAAAATGAAAATGCTGCCACTGTTATTTATTTTTCTAGCCTGGGCAGGCTGGGGAGTTGGGGTGGGGGTGGAGGGAGACCGAGATTTCAGGACTGAGAGAACATCAGAGTTCACTGCCACTATATACTTGTGGGCCCGAGACCAGCTGTACAGACTGGTCACAGATCCTGAGCCTGGGCAGTGGGCTAGGAGTCTTGATTTTATGTCTTGTGAAAGCTGGCTGATGCATGGTTTCTCAGTAGGTTTCACCAACCTTATAAAAATGCGGGCTCCTTGTTTCCAACCTGGGAAAGTGCTTGTCTCACTAACTCTCAGCTGAGTGTCATGCACCAGGGAAGCTTAAGGGGACTTTGAGCAGTATATTTTGGGCTCTTGCAAAAGAGTGATGAGCTGTATATAACTAGCTCACCTGTAGTGAAGACTACAAATTTTGGGAAAATTTGTCAATAGTTACTTAAATGACAATGTGCTTTCTGGGTATGGGTTTGAAAGTTGTAATGTACTTATGGATTTACATGGGTTCTTTGCTATAAGATCTTTGTGATTTCTAACCCTAGGTGGTTCTCATCAGTTCTTGTTTGCTTCTTCCCCTGTCCCAGCTAGATGGGTCACAGTGAGTTGCTAAGTTTTTTCATTGCGCTCCACCACTAGTCACTCATGATTGGCTGAAGTATGGCCACCTGACATGAGCTGAGTCGGTCAAAGCCCTTTCCTGAGATCTTAAACATGGGACCTCTGAGTATAGAAAGTCAGAGAATGTGAGAATCAGGGTCTTTGAGCTGCCATGGTCCCAGCCTTATTGGAAAAACTAATCTATGATAGATGTTCAGAGACAAGAACGCTAGAGAGTTGGTAGATTTCATGTCTTTGACTGGAGTTCCTAGAACCATTTTTATGATTTGACCATCCCTTGAGACAATAAATTCCCCCTCTTTGCCAAAATTCACTTGGCTCTGTCATTTGTAACCAGAAAGTTCTGAATATAGTGCCAGAGGGAAGTAACTGCTATACTAGACACTGATTGGAGATCTCCTCAAAGTTCTGCCCAAGGTCAACTTTTGAGTCAGGATCCACATCTCACCTTTGGCAATCTGTCACAAACTGAATTTTTAAAACAGTACCAGCAATGAGTAAGGTGGTCACATTTAAACAAAGGGGTCTTTGTAAATGGTTTTTATTGGCTTTACATCCATGTTCCATCACTTGTCTGTTTATTGTATTGTGGTGGCTTGTGTGTTTCCCTGATGATACGTCACTGGTATTTCGAATACAAACAGGGCCATCCATAGTGGGCAGGTTTCAGCAGAACTAAGACAGGCTAAGAAAGTACCTATTGATCTACTTCTAAAATAACTGACCATGAAAACCTTTAAAATAGCAGTGGATCTCCACTGAATAGTATCCAATCTGTCTAGGTGGGGCTGATGAAATGAAATGCGGATGGGTCTCTTGTGATACAATAGTGAATAATTGTTATCAGAACTGCTTGTGAGGGTTGGAAATGTAAAGGTAGACGTTTTGTAGCAAGGAGCGGAGTGATTAACTCTTCAGCCTAGGAGTGGAGGTCCTTGGGACCATCAAGGGAGAAGAGCAGAGAGCGGGACCCTACCCAGAGAAGCAGGTGGGGCTGAGATGGAGGCAGAGACAAATACCTGTAGTGACGGAGCATATAGGGACTTTAGACCCAGAGAGGGAGAGGGGCTGTGTACTGACGACCAGGGGGCAGGCTCGTAGTGTATACCCTTTGGTTGGTTGATGATGCATGGAGGGGATTGTAACCATAGCAATGAAATGATATATGATAGGATGAATGTAAAACTAATGTTCTCCCATGTAAACTATCACATAATTCACAATAAAACATTAAATATATATATATATATATATATAGCAGTGGAACAGTGACTGATACAGTGCCAGAAGATGAGCCCCTCAGGTTGGAATTCACTCAAAATATGACTGGGGAAGATTTACTTTCTCAGAGTAGAACTTAATGACATGAGTGGAGTAAAGCTTTTGGGACTTTCATCTGCTGAGATAACATGACTCAAAATGAGAAGAAACAGCTGTACACATACAATAATAATCAGAACATGGACAATACCAAGTATGAATCTAGGGAAATTGGAAGTCTTAAAAAATGAAATGGAATAAATAAAGATTGATATCCTAGGCATTAGTGAACTGAAATGGATTAGTATTGGCCATTTTGAATGTGACCATCATATGGTTTACTATGCTAGGGATGACAAAGAGGAATGGTATTATTGTAATCACTAAAAAGAATATTTCAAGATCTGTCCTAAAGTACAATGCTATTAGTAATAGGATAATATCCATACACTTACAAAGAAGATTTATTTCCTTTGTAAGTGTATGGATATTAATACAACTATTATTCAAATTAAGGAGCTCTGGTAGCGTGGTGATTATGAGTCAGGCTGCTAATCTCACACTCAGCAGTTTGAAAATACCAGGTCATCTGTAGCTCCTGTTAAGATTTATAGCCTTGGAGACCCTATACAGGGTCACTATGAGTCAGAACTGACTCTACAGCACATAACCACCATAACCATTATTCAAATTTACACACTAAGGTCACAGATAAAGAAAATAAAGTTATTTTTACCATCTTCTGCAATATGAAATTGATATTGCATATAATCAAGATGCATTGATAACTATTCTTGATTAGAATGCGAAAGTTGGAAACAAAGAACAATCAGTAGTTGGAAAATATGGGCTTTGTGACAGAAATGTCTTTTGTGATCACATAATAGATTTTTACAGGCCAATGACTTAATTATTCATTGCAAATACCTTCTTTAAAAAAAAAAAGTTTAAACAAACTTTGACTATACACATGGACTTAATCATATAGAATACATAGGAATCAAACAGGCAGCATCTATTTGATGAAAGAAACTATGGAGAAAATCAGAACAAGTCCAGGGGCCTCAGTGAAAAAGGCCCACAATTGTTCATATGCAAGTTCAAGTTGAAGTTGAAGAAAATTAAGTCCATGACAGCCAAGTACAATCTTGACTATATCTCACCTGAATTTAGAGAATATCTTGAGAATAGATTTGAGACACTGAACATTAATGACCAAAGACTGATGAGTCATGTGATGACATGAAGGACATCATATACTAAGAAAGCAAAAGATCATTAAAAAGATAGGTAAGAAAGAAAAGACAAAAATGGATGTCAAAAGGAACTCTGAAACTTGCTTTTGAGCATAAAGTAACTAAAAGGAAAGGAAGAAATGATGAAGTGAAAGAGCTAAACAGACTTCAAAGTAAACCAAGAAGACAAAGTAAAGTATTAAAATAAAATGTGTGGAGACCTGAAGTTAGGAATCTAAGAGGAAAAAACACATTTGGCATTTCTCATACTGAAAGACGAGAAATTCTAGCCTTGAATTACAATACTAAAGGATTCTATGAGCAAAATATTGAATGATACAGTAAGCATCAAACGAAGATGGAAGGAATGTGTCTGTATTATACTTAAAAGAATTGCTCAATGTTCAGCCATTTCAGAAGTACAAGATCAAGAGCCGATGGTACTGAAGGAAGAGGTCCAAGCTTCACTGAAGACATTAGTGAAAAACAAACCTCCATGAATTGACAGAATGCTAATTGAGATGTTTCAACAAACATGCTATGCTGGACATGCTCACTTGTCTAGGAAGAAATCTGGAAGACAGCTACCTGGCCAACTGACTGAAAGAGATCCATATTTGTTCCCATTCCACAGAAAGGTGATCCAACAGAATGCAGATGCTATCAAACAATATCACTACTATCAGACACAAGTAAAATATTTCTAAAGATAATTCAAAATATAGCAGTACACTGACAGGGAACTACCAGAAATCCAGGCAGGATTCATAAAAGGATGTCTAATGAGAGAGATCAGGAGCTCTGGTAGCATAGTGGTTACGAATCAGGCTGCGAACCTTAAGGTCAGCGGTTCGAAACTATCAGCCGCTCCGCGGGAGAAAGATGAGGCTTTCCACTCCCGTAAAGATTTACACCCTCGGAAACCCTGTACAGGGTCGCTATGAGTCGGAACCGACTCGACGGCACTTAACAACAACAACAATGAGAGAGACAATTGCTGATGTCAGATGGATGGATCTTGGATGAAAAGAGAAAGATGCTTGCTTACCTATGTTTTATTGACAATACAAAGGCATTCAAATAAGTGGAACATGACAAAATCATGCATAATATTGTGAAGAATGGGAGCTTCAGAACACTTAATTATGCCTTTGTCGAACTTATGCATGAGCAAGATGTAGTTATTCGAACAGAACAAAAGGATATTGTGTAGTTTAAAATCAGGAAATGTGTGCATCAAGGTGGTATCATTTCACCATGCTTATTCAATCTGTATGCTGAGCAAATAATTCGAG